GCAGATAGTCTTGTTAGCCCTAGTCTTTTTTAGTATGTCAGCTACCAAAAGTTTCTCGAACTTTTTTGAATTTTCCAAAGTGTTTTCAGCCAAAGCCGGGTAATGTGGCCAGGGTAATCTCAACTTGCTCTCTGTATTTTCGTGAGGGACATTGGGCCCGGTGCGCAGCAGCACGTGTTGCTCTCCACGAATAGACTGGAGCATTGTTTTGAAAAAGAACAAACAGAAAACAAAAGGAAAAAAGAGAGGAAAAAGAAGAGATACCAAGCAACTTATCCAGTCATGCACGCGCTCAATTAAGCAAATCATTATGGAAAGAGTCCGAAAGATCATACGAGAAATAAAATTGAAACGTGAAAGCAATCTATGAAGAAGGGACACGTGGACAGCTGTCATTGAAAGCAAGGGGAAGAGAAGTGCATGAATAGACGAAGACACAGGAAAGAGTGATCAGCAACAGCAGTCGTGATCACTCTCTCACTCGACCTCCACCCTAGCCAACCCTCAGTCTCACCGTCCTTCTAGTTTCACCACCCACAGTTTTGCAGTAGTTATAACAAGGCAAGGGGCATTCATCCCTGACTTTGACATCTCAAGAATGTCAAACATAAAGTCTTAAGCGGTTAAACCACTACTACCTTTCTTTTGTTCCCCCCCCCCTCCCTCCTTTTTTGAAGTTTTTTCTTCATTTTTATAAAGGGCAACAGCCTTGAGGTATGATCGCCGTGAGACTGACCAGCCCCCGGTATCCAGGAATTTCTGGTCCCATCTGGTTTCTAACTCACGTCTGCATTTCGGTGTACCAACTACCTTTCTGGCTGGAAGCCTAAGTCGTAAATATAACCCATACCTCATTCTTCCAACTTGAAGGCCGGTGGAGGCTGGACGCCTCCAGACCAGAAACTGGCAGAAAGGATGGCAGCGCCAACCGAAACAAAACAACAAAGGCCGGACTGGCGCTTTGGCCAATTTGAAAGCTTGGCGTGCAGCTCTGCKCTGCCTCGGCAAACAGAGGCTCAAAGGTAGTGGTGGTTAACCGCAGTTTGATAGTCAAAGTTTTCACCGCTGTAACGCTGTTTGATTAACCCACGGAACTACGTAGCCAACGTTTGTTGCAGYTGACAGTGTGTCTTCAAGACTCTTCAGCAGAGTCAGACAATGTCATCATGATGGTGAAGGGTAGCAGAAGGACAGAAGGAGTGAAGTGATTCCTGTCTCATTCACTKACAGGTCTATCAGTAGGAGTTGCACAGTATGGGACCGTGCTGTTGAAGACGACCTCATCTCCAACCCCTCTCCTACAGTCTCAGCACCCCCATGCTGTTCACAAGGGCAAGCAGCATCGCTGCTATGATCTTCCTCAAGGTGAAGATTTTTCGGTTTCCGACCCCATGTCACACTAAGTCCTCCCAGAATAGATTTGGGACATTGGCGCAGTTTCATTTGAACAAAAACGGAAAGAAAACCGTCTACGCAGCTCCACTCACTATGCTGTAGGGGACAGAGCAGCTGGGACAGAGCAGCTGCAGTCAGTGTACGTGAAGAGGAACAGCAGCAAGTGCCACACTGTTGCTAGCACGGGAAGCTGAGCAGCTATGGCCGCCCTGGAGGGCAGCAAGGCTCCATCGCCAAGCACCAGTCTTTCACTCCCGCTGGGAAGAAGCTTTGCAGCGACAGTCACCCTGAAAGTGCAACCCCTCCTTGTCAAGTCTGTCTATCGGTCTGTCGCTCGGTCTGTCCATCGGTTCGTTCGACCGTTGCCTGTCTGTCCGTCTGTCTGGCTGTCTGTCTCTGTCTGTCTCTGTCTGTCTCTGTCTGTCTCTGTCTGTCTGTCTGTGTGTTTTAGATTTTCCCACAACAGCCCCAATTCCACCCAGGTGAATAGATTCACATTCAAAGCAGTCTTTATCCTATTGCAGACAACGAGAGCATTTGAGATGTCCAAMATATTAAAGCATTTTTATAATTAGACAGTTTTTTGGTTGTTCTTGGGGTACCCCTTTCATTGTTCTTGCAGCTCCCCTTTTACTGTGACTCTTACGCACAAGGCTGCCCACTGTGTGTCTGTACGTCTCCGTCTGACTCTGTCTATCCGTCTGTCGGTGCGTATGTCTCTGTCTCTGTGTCTGTCTCTGTCTCCGTCCCTCCCTCCCTCTCTCTCTCTCTCTCTCTCTCTCTCTCTCTCTCTCTCTCTCTCCCTCTCTCTCTCTCTCTCTCTCATGATGCTGATGTCAACCTGGTGCAAGTAGTTTGACAGCTATGTTCACCCTGAAAGTGAAACCTCTCCCCGACACCAAGCATCACTCTGTCAGTCACAATGGCGAGAAGCTTTGTAGCTTTGGTTGCCCCAAAGGTGAAGAGAACATGCTCAGGTTGCCATGAAAGAGAAGATTTTTCACTGTTCTCAGCCCCCACTTCCCCCCAAGCACCACCTCTTCAATCACAATAGCAAGACTCACTGAACCTGTAGTCCACCTGAAGATGACGGTGACCCAATGCTCAACCTCTCCTTGACACCAAGAACCACTCTCTATCACTCACAATGAATGATACCAGCGAAGGAGCTCTGCAGCAATGATCGATCCCCTCCAATGCGACAATCGCATCCAGTGCCCAACGTCTCCCTGGTGGAAAGCACAAATCTCCCACACATACTCAATCATACCTACAAAAGCTCTTCAGCTATAACGGGCCCAACGAGGGTTTGGCCTGTTATCTGAAAAAGCCTTCCATGCCTAAGTGCACCATCCAGAAATGATCAAATCTCAGTTGCGCACCTCATCAGTATTATTCCCCCCAGGGCTTAGGGTTTAGGGTTCAGGGTTTATGGTTTACGGTATAGGGTTTACGGTTTAGGGTTTAGGGTTTAGGGTTTACGGTACCAAGCATCAAATTTGGGCCTGGAACATCTTCCCTTCAAGATCTTGACAGCATCTTTGACTTCTTCATTCGTTGTTAAAGCACCGGTGGTTCCAAAAAAAAAAATGGCTCGTTAACCTCGATGCCGAGTTTTGGATGTCCCAGGCTACCCGCCTGCCTGCCTGCCCTGGATCGAGTATATCAGTGATGGGAAATCTGTGAGAGGGGTTCGTTAACGTTCATTTCCGACGTCCGAAATGCTATCCACATTGTCAAACTAACCTGCAGCAGCTTCGGGCCTGGCAACACTACTCATACGTAAAGAAAAAGAAGGTGAGTGCATCTTCGCAGAGAACGTGGCAGGATACAGCATGCACTCACATTTTTTTTCCCATTTCAAGAGTAGAGTGGTGAGGCCCTTTTGCGAAAGCCAATCCACTCGCACGTGGGACCTGGCCCTTTATCGTTATTTTGTAACTGAAGGAATACTTGGTGCGCTATAGTTGTACCTTGCTCATTAGAGAGACGAGAAAAAATCACGAACTTGGCGGACAAACATCAGAGCGAGGTTGGAGCTGACTCTCAGACAGGTGGTTTTGCTACCAAGGCTGATAGCAAGCAGTAACTTTCCAATTATCAACAAAGTTGTGAGCTGACGATGAATCTATAATTCTTAAGCGAAAAATAAAATAAAAGAAACTAGCGCACCACCCTGCTTTTCCCAAAGCTGATATTTTGTCCCTGCCTGATACCGAAAGAAATCAGACTGCAGTTCAAACTTGCTGGGACTTGCACACACGCAGGAACTGATGGTGAAATGCTTGCGCCGACTCATAATCAACAATGAACTTGCACTTAAAACTCAGTTCATGTCAACTGTACAACTTGCGGCTATGGCCGCCGAACACTGTCTCCACCACCAGCCTCGCTCTCCCTCATGTATACATTTCCGAGGATCCACCCTGAATGTCCACTCACTACACACACACACACACACACTATACACCCTGTTGACTTCAGCAGCTTGGCGGCTATGGCCGCCACCGTCTTCCTCCTCCTAGCTATGGCCGCTGTCGTCTTCCTTACTGCCCACCCCAGCTCCGGGCAGCTGCAGACTACCACGCACAAGTCACCAAGGCAGCGCTTCCGCATGGCTCACAGGCAAATGAATGAATGGCTGATCGCTGCGGCCTCTTTATTTATACTCTTCCGCAGGTGGCCTGGCCCTGCCTCAAAACGTGTGGGCCTGGGTCCCAAACCGCGTGGGCCCGGGCCCCAAACCGTGTGGCCCTGGGCCCAGAAGCCTCCAGAACGCGTTGGCATGCTGGGCCAAAACGCGTGGAACCTGTGGGGAACCGCGTGGGACCCTCACCACTTGCCTGGTGCTTGCTGACCGGACCTGAACAGACAGGCCTACGACCTTCTAGACTCTACCACCACTGCCTACGGACTGGGCTGACCCTTAGGCCTACGAAGAGACAGGAAGAGACTTCCACAAGGGCCCTAAGTAAGTCTAACGGTAACATACTAACCTACTAACACGACCTGGCAGCTAACGACCAGACCTACTAACTAACCTACGGGTTTTAGGGACAGGTGATGGGTTCGAATGTCACTCAGCACACAGGGTCAATGTACAGGGTTTAGGCGCAGGTCCAGGGATCGAATCTCAGGGTCTGCAAATGTCGGGTCAACTGGGTGAAGCCGTTTCACGAAAGATAAAACGAGAAAATCAGTAGCAATAAAACACAAAGGGATGACGAAAGAACGCGCAGCCAGATACTAACAGAACCACACGGATGAAAGCAAACAAGTGTAAACCTGACGACAGGCGAAGTTCACCGGCAATTTTGGAAGTGAAATGCAGCATGCCAAGTGTGATCTAATTAACCATGTTAGTATGCTATGCTCCCAGCTCATGTGCGGCACCTGACCATGTGGGAGGAGAAGGAGAAGAGGAGGAGAAGGAGGAGGAGGAGGAGGAGGTCAAAACGCCACAACCGCCCATGCATGCCTGACCACAGATTAGTTTCACAAGAAAACCAAACAGACTTGGAAATGTAGCAGGGCAAGACAGTTGAGCGAATCGCAGCAAGAACTCTGGGAACAAACTCCGCACCACCTTTCCCTATGTCACAGTGTTGTTTGGCTCATCTTTACTGCGCTCTTCATCTTCACGGTGAGTCATTTGAGCTGTGCTGGACTGACAGAGGAATGTGCCTTTGTCAGTGCCAACTGAGCTTGTCTAGTTTTTGAGAACGGAATGACACCCCTGATTGATGGCTGTGCTGGAAAGAGCATCCCCAGGCGGTCCAGCCCAGATGCAACGCCGCCGTGGGATGGCGCGCCGAGGTCGAAACTCATCCAGAATATATTCAAACCTTTCCTCCGCTTGTTGCCTGGACAAGCCTATAACCTCAAAGATCTTCTCTTGAACCTCTTGCYTGCAGATTCATGGACTTCCTCCTCCAATCTCCACCCCATTTTACACCATGTCATATGCGAGAGCATGTGCGTTTCGGGGGTTACTCATGCCCTCGGCAACTGCAGCCGTGAGCGGATGATGTGCATTCTTCAGCCGCTGGTTATCTTCATCCCACTTGCATAAAGGAAACTCCGTCACCCACAAAGTTGTATGTTCCGACTTGTTGATAGGTCCAGGCTGATTGGCCAGATAATTTCGCAGGCAGTCTAACGACTTGTTGACTATGGCTACTTCCCCCTGCAGTAACTGTTCAAGTTCCTGCCCTCTGCTTCACATTCAATTTCTGCTGCACCCCATTTTACGCCATGTCATATGCGAGAATGAGTGCATTTCGGAGGCTACTCATCTCATCTCCTTAGCAACGGCTTCAGTGAACGGATGATGTGCATCCTTCAGCTGCTGGTGTGTCTTACCTCATGCATGTCGGTACCACTCCCACATCATGTGCTCCACCTTCCCGTACACAGCCCATCTCCCACCAAAACCATCACAGCTGAGATGGCTCTCAAGGTTGAACGCCGCCCGCACCTCCCAATCAAAACGACTCTTAAACAGTTCGGTCACCTCATGCTAAGAAGAGAATCAGAGAGGTAAGATACAGTTACGAATAACTATTTGTGCCTCTGTACTTCACTCTCGTGAGACCAAATCTTTCCCGTATCTCAGTTGCCCTACCTTCCAGGTTTCTCTCCAGCCAGTCCATCGCTTCCTGACGCTTCACACCATCTTCCGGACCATCATCCTTGAACATATCCTTTCCAACGTTATTCATTCTCCGCTCAAGGTCTTCCAGGTCCACAAATTCCAGACCAGCGTTCCCCACTGTTCCGATCACAAAGCTTGTCCAGTTGGCCACGCCACCCAAGTCCGGCACAAGCTGCTGGATGCCCATAGAAATTGCACAGCCGGTTTTCAGCAGCACAGCCATAGTAAGAATTGTCCACTTGAGGAGAGTCCATACATGCCGCCTTTCCTCGTTCTGAAAACACAACCTCTTCCCCTCCTGGCCATCGACAACATGGCAGCGGTCTTTGGATTCGCACATGAGATGCAGCTCCACTGGCTTCAAGCCAATCAGAAAACTCAGTTTCTGGCGAAAGCCATGTTTCCTCTCCGTGATGTAAACACGATGAGGGAGGCGATGACTGTGCTGCTCAATGGCGAAAACGGAAATGGTAGACAGGGCATTGCAGAGTCTTGTAAACGCATTACTCTGCTCCATCCTCAGATTCTTCACTTCTTCTTTCAGCTCACTCATGAACCGGAAATTTCTGTCAACTTTTCCAGCAAGATAGCGAAGACCCCTCGTCACCAAATCACCCAACTCTTGAATGTTGCCTGTGGGCTGTTCACATTCAAAAGGTGCCTCAGAATGGTCATCGAAGCTAGCAGTGCTGTTTTTGCAACCAGATTCCCGCTGTCTTTGTCCCGAGCTCCCCTCGACTACATGGAAGCTGTCACAAACTTTGTGAAGCTCATGCTTCTGAGTGGATAGGTGCCTCTCCAGTGTTTTCGGTCTGATTAGCGCCATGGCATCGTCGCAGGATCGTGGAACAATTTCCTGGCCCTTCTCATCCCAAATGGAAGGCCAGGAATGATTGTAATTATATTCCTCCCTCTCCATCCCCTCGATCAGCTTTTTTTCTGCGACAGTCTGATCAACGCTCCGGTACCTGCGTGGAACAATCGGAGATGTTGTCAAACAGCGGGGACGCAGAATTTTCGTCACCAGATCCACACCTGGGAGACCAGTCGGCTCGCTGCAAAGTTGGTAGATGGCTCCCAAAATGTTCTTATCAACCCATTCAGCGGATTCGTCAACAGAAACGCCGGGCGACGATACCATAACGTCAATCCAATTGTCATGGATTCCCCCAAACTCCACATAGATCTCGTAGCCATTCGAGAATATCTCACAAAGGTCCTGCTTGCAGTTGTAAACACCCTTGTCGTGGAATTTCTCATGGAAGCGCACCTGCAAATCCGGCATAAAAAAGACAAATCCAGAGTTGTAAGTCTCAATTGCTTGTACTGCCTGTGCACGGATGTGCTGCAACCCATATGGTGCAAGCATACGAGGCGTACTAGGGTAAAGAATGTGGGATGCCGTGTCTGATCACAGTCAGTATGGCCTACCACTAATTGGTGATGTACACACATATGTCCTTGGGTTTGCGACACATTTGTCACCAGGACGGCAAGAGTGGGTTTGCGCAATGCTCATTCTACATAAATTGCAGTGCATTCCTAGTCTCAGACTTTCCAGATGGTACCGATCACTTGCAGGCCGCTACGTCCAGGCTTCTATGCATCCACAATGTTCGCTGACTTTCCTTGGACTTGGCTGCCAACAGACTGGGCTGGACTGTGCAAGCGGACTGACTGGTACTACAGTACATTGGGATTGGACTTGGGACTTGGGACTTTGGGACTGGGACTGGGACACTGCTACACGTGAAGTCCTTTCATCTCTCTCTCTCTCTCTCTCTCTCTCTCTCTCTCTCTCTCTCTCTCTCTCTCTCTCTCTCTCTCTCTCTCTCTCTCTCACACACACACA